ATGATCTAATAAAGCTTGACTTACGATCAGAGTGCATAGATAACCACACTGGTTAGTCATAGAGGCCAAGCAGCATTCAGGAGACAAAGGCAGATGGATCTCTGTTAGTTCAAGGCCACCTCTGGGCTACACAAAATCAATCCAGTCTAAAAGAGAGCCAAGCAATGGTGGCTCACACCTTTAATCCCAGTACTTGGGAGTCACATGCCTTTAATGTCAGCACTAAAGAGGTGGAGACAGGAAAGCATATGGCTGGACAGAGAAAAGAATGTAAGACAGAGGAGGCAGGAGCTCACTGCAGTCTGAGGACAGGATTGCCTCTTTGGTCTGAGCATTGGTAGAGGTACTCTAGTGGCTGGCTGCTTTGCCACTCTGATCCTTCAGCTCCTCCCCCACCATAGGTGACTCAAGTTTTGTTATTAAGAACAATTAGAATTTGTGCTACAGTCATGTGGGTACTGGAAATTGAAGCCAGGTCCTCTAGAAGAGCAGCTAGTGCTCTTAAACACTGAGCCATCTCTCCAGCCCCATCTTGTGTGTTTTGTTGTTGTTGTGTATTCTGTTTTATTACAGAAGGGCTTGGGTGGCCTGTTACTTGCTATTGAACCCAGGCTAGCCTTGAGTTCATGAGAATACTCCTGCCACAAGAGTAGGCCACTAGGCCTGAACTCTTATCCTTCATCTATAACAAGATTTCACCCGTGTAGCATTGGCTGGCTTGGAATTTGAGCTGTCTTCTTGCCTCAGTCTCTCAAATGCAAAAATTACAAGCAAGAGGGCAAGTCTGGGGCTGGAGAGATGGCTGAGAAGTTAAAAGCGCTGGCTGCTCTTCCAGAGGTCCTGAGTTCAATTCCCAGCAACCACATGGTGGCTCACAACCATCAGTTATGAGATCTGGAACCCTCTTCTAGTCTACAGATAGGCATGGAAGCAAAATGTTGTATACATAATAAATAAATGAAATATTAAAAAAAAAAAAAGAGGGCAAGTCTGAGGCCAGCCTGGGCCTCAAGGCAAGGCTGGAAAGATGGCTTAGTGGTTAAAAGCACTCCTCTGTAACAGCACCCAATTTTGGTTCCTAGCACCCACATAATGGCTCACAACTACCTATAACTCTAGTTCTAGGGGATCCAGTGCCTTCCACTGTCCATACCAAAACACACACACACACACACACACACACACACACACACAAATTTAAAACTATTTCAAAAAATTAACAAAGTATTATTGGACTGAAAGATTACAGAAGATACCTGTAAAAGTTCACCTGATTCAGTCTTACCTGCAGGTGTTCTATAACCAAATCACAATTGCGGCTCTAAGAACATTCATTTATTTAAGCATAGATAGCCTTGGTGGCATGGGGAAAAGGATGACACAGAGCCCCCCACCTTCTTCCACCACCCGTTTGCTGTGTGCTGCTGTCCCTTTTGGTTGTCCAGAGGCAGCATCCAGCTTTCTCTCAGCCAAGAATGGCTGTAGCTGTTTCCTCCTCTGAGTTCCCAGCATGGGTTAGACCTGGGGGTTAGACCTGGAGGAACGGGTCTTCCTGCTGTAGACTGCTCTCTAGCCTGTGACCCCCACAGTCTTGGTGGGCTCCGGGTTTATTCTTTGGAATTCCACACCTTGGTGACATGGCTCCTGGCTGGCGATCAATCAAGTCCTCTTTGCAGCTCTTGAGGAAAACTGTGTCCTAATGGGTTAACTTCGTTGCTGCCCTCATCTGGGCTGCTGTCCTTTTCTGTCTGTCATCTGTTCTGGACTTCTGGTTTTCTTATGAACATCCTTCGCCACTTTTAGCAGTTCTCAGCTCTGCCAACCGAGCTAGTTCCAGGATTGGTAACTTCACAGGAAACTTGACAAAATCCTGATGGCGCATTTTGGCAAGTTTAGAGTTATTTGGGGATGCTCTCTGGAAGCCAGGTTAGGAGGCAACAAGGCAAAAACCAGCTTTCTAAGATGCCTGCCCTCACCACCCCACTGTTTGCTTGAGGAAAACAAGAAGCAGCTGAAGCAGCTAGTGGTTGCATTCACAGCAGATTTCCTAGTAGAACAGGAATCAATGCTAGGCCATCAAGGCAAATCTGAGGATGTGTGTCATCTCTGGAAGGCACCTAGTTCCAGGACTCCAAGAAAACATCTACCCATCAGAGTACCTCCATCAAGAACTTTGGGACACACGGAGACAGCACCCTGAAGAAGTCTTGTGCCTTGTCCAAACCAGACTATCAGGAAGCAGCATCAAACCATTTCACCATTTTACAATGTAAGGAGGGGCGTCCCAAAGATGCAACTCCTTGTGGATTCAGAGAACTCTCTGCTACCTACTGTTGGGATCCTCACAGCAACCCCATGAAATGGAAATGGGGAGGTTCTTGATCACTTGATCACTTAGAAGAGAAGAAGCAAGGCAAGGAGAGCCCAAAGCTACATAGCAAGGGGCTGTGTCTCCTGATTCCTGGGTTCAGCATGGAACCCACTAAGTCAGATACTAGACTTACAAAAACACTGACACAAGAGTGCCCCAGGACACAACAAGCAACATGCCCAGCTGGCCAAAGCAAGCATAGAAGGAGGCCAAAGAAACAGCCTCGCCCCAACCTCCTTCAACACAGACACCGCTTGCAAACAAACTCCCAGCATTTCCAACAGCCAATCTACCCAGCAGAGCCTCATAGACAAGCCAAACTTCATCCAACATAACACTGCTGCCTCGGCTAGACACTACAGAGGCCAACCTTAGCCTCAAGCGCACTACCCTGCTCAGAGCACCTTCGACCTATGTCTTTCATCAAGGCCACAATCTGTTTGGGATCTCTTTTAAACATTTATGCTAGAAATTTTTTGTCTCCTGCTCATCTCCAGATCCAGCCTCCTTCCCTGGCTGTTGAGTCTCATGCCAGTGAGTGTGCTGTCGGGACCCTTTTATAGCCCGTTCAGGTTAATGACTCCTAGCCAGCCTCTGTTTAGTAGATTTGTGAATCCATCCATTCTGCCACTTGGGCAGGTGTATTTGACCCTGAGCTTGGAGCATCACCATCTTTCCTTCTGTTCCCACCATTAAGTCTCTTGGAACCTTTTAAGCACTCAAGCATCTCGGAAAGGAAGAGGTTTCAAACAACTGGCTGAGTGATGTGCTCAAAGCCTGCTTGAGGCCATTTCTCATTCAGTGGGGAAGATGGGCTCCCCACAAGATCAAACCCATCCTCTGAAGTGAGGAAACAGTGGGAAAATTACCTCGGTTACAGATGCTGCAGAAGTTGCTAGGCCCCTCGCTGTGCTTCTTCAGGTGGTCTGCCATGTACGCTGCCCGCAGGTACTTCCCACACACCTGGCAGGGGACCTTGTCTTCGTGACAGGCCAGGTGGGAGCGCAGGCGGTCTCGAGTAGCAAAAGAGGCATTGCAGGTCTGAGTGTAGAAAGGAAAACAGGATGAGGAACAACAGATATTTCACACTTGACCAAGTACACCAGGAAGCAAGGCCCTGTTCCTGGTCATCTTGTGAAATCAATCCCTTTAGAAAGCTGGATGGCAGCCGGGTGTTGGTGGTGCACGCCTTTAATCTCAGCACTCAGGAGGCAGAAGCAGGGCAGGCGGATCTCTGAGTTCAAGGCCAGCCTGGTCTACAGGGCGAGTGCCAGGACAGGCTCCAAAGCTACACAGAGAAACCCTGTCTCGAAAAAGCAAAAAAAAAAAGGAAAACTGGATAGCTCAGCTAAGGCTTTTACACACAGTGCCAAGTGGCTTCCTTCCTTTCCACAGTGCTGTTTCATAGGATATGAGTTGGAATTATTGGTTCTTCACCACAGACAAGCTCAAAACATGGCCAGCTAAGTCCTATGCTGCTCTTCTGAATGGAGTTAAATATTTATTCATTTTTTTTTCTCCCCACCCCCTTGTATTTTTCAGACAGGGTCTCATGCAACTTAGGCTCACCTCAACCTCTATGTAGCTGAACTTGATCTTGAACTGCTCCTCTTTCTGCAGCACTGGGTCACAGGTATGCACCTTCATGTCTATTCATTCTTAACCACAAAGCACTGACTTTAGGAGCACTGGCTATATTAAGCAAGTTATAGCACATAAACCAGTCTTCCTGTTCCCCATCCCAGATTTCCCCTTACTGCTTTATACAAAGAATCCAATGTATTTGTTTCATTCAAATATGACATTTGTCTTGGCCATGGAAAGGCAAGACAAAGTACAAAGATAACACTTCACAATATGCTTGTAATGTGAATTTAAAAAGCAGCTTATAAAATAAATGATAGTGTTGGTTGTACTAATGTGAGATTGGAGAAAGTAGGCTTTGGATGTTCAGAGCATTTGTGCAAATGTTATGGTGGGGAAATGATGGTAAAAATAGTGACTCCGGCCTGCAGCATTGACTAAGCAGGCTCTGAGCTCAGACTGATAAGAGACATTTGTCCTATGCAGTTCATCCATACAGCAGCCCCCCAAGGCAAGCTGTTACCCCTGCACTCTAGGAGTCTGCAGTCATGGAAAGGCACAACTCACAGCCAGACCCTGCAGCTATGAAGTCACGGTCAGAACCATACACTGAGAATGAGGGTCTAGCTTCCTTGCAATTATCTTTCTCCAACATCCCTTCCTTTGTTAGGGCATGCAAAGGCTGGGGTGCCTTGGGGAACATGGAATGTCACAAAGCCTTGAAAAGAGGTGGATTCAGTGGCTTTTGAGTTATTTGGGCTCCATGGAGATGCCTCAGGGGCTAATGTCAAATTGAACTTTAATTTCTGTTCCCTGTGTGTGCTCTCTGCTTTAGGAGTGTAAGAAAAAGCAACTTTCACATTTGAGGGTGCTGCTATTAATCCACTGACGAGGTGCCACCCATTAATTTGCCGGAGTGGAGTTGCCTCTATTTCCAGTTTAGAAGTGGATCTTGATAACCTAAAATCTCAAGGTAAGTGTCTGGACACTGTCACCTTCCTGTACAAAGCATGAAGCCGATAGCAATATCATGGAGGTAGGTGGGGCCACCATTTCCCTCCTCAGCCTCAGACCTCTGTACCAGCACAAGTCTCCTGTTCCCTGTCATCACAAGTAAACAGTACTAACTTGAACAGGTCACCCTGGTGATATCCTGCTTTTATGTTTTTCTGTTTAATTCTGTGGCAAAGGAGGAAGCTAACTTTAGAAAGTGAACTTGCTCAAGGCTCAAGTAATAATAAAGGAGCAATCTAAACACCCTGACCAGACCAGTCTCCAAGCCATCTTCCAGCTACATAGAGGTCTCAACCAATCTTATAGCTGGGCAGACAGATGCCCTTTGAGGATGCAGGACAGGTGAGTTGACAACTGGCCTCAAGTCTATACCCTTATCACTTCTGAAGCCAATACAGGTGCATCCCATGCAAGAAAGGTGTTGACCCTGACCCTATGTACTTGGTATCCATTTCTGTCCTGGGGCAAGGATGTGCAGGCAAACTCCAGCACCTGGGCAACCCAGAAAGCATCTTGGGTATTCAGTCTCAGTCACAGGAGGACCAAACTCAGGGATATCATCATGACCACAGTGATAGGCCACAGTGAGAGAATGCAGACTCTTCCAGCCAGGCTAGCAACCTGTAAATCACAACAGGGGCTCTCATAAATACCTGTTGGGGAGAGGTAAGCATGTTCATCATCCAGGAACAAGAGCCAGCTCTGCTAAAGATCCCAGAACTACCCTACCCCTGCAGCTGTGAGAGTGGGGATGTTGGTTTTGTTTTTTAAAATAAGGTCTCACCTGGCTGTCCTATAACTCACTCTATAGACCAGGTTGGCCTTGAACAGAGATCCACCTGCCTCCTTCCCAAGTAACTACAGGAAAGTTTTAAGCCTCAGACTCAAAGGTGCTAACATGAACCAGGTGAAAGTCTTCAATATTGTCTTCCTTTTTCCAGGGAAAGGAAGCCTGATGCATGAAAGATACCTTGTTAGCCTTGACAACCATTGTGATCTTTCCTTTAAAGGCTTTTCCCTGTCACACTTTGGTACCCAAGATAATGGACAGCCACCCTAGATTATTCCCAAATGGATTAAATACTTGGGGATTAACTAAGCAAAATTAAAATCTCAGATGCAGCTGGCTTTCTTTACCCTGTCCTCTACTGATTATCTCTCAAGAAATAAAACTAACCTCACCCCGAGCAAAAACAATTAGGAATGCCAATCTCCTATTGGGATAAAGAAGCCACAACAGAAACTACCACCTTGTTACAAAGCCAAACTAAAGTAGCTGTTGGCTCCCTGTTCAATTGACCCTCTGTGGCTAGTCCCCAGGCTTTTCTGTGTGTGAGTCCAAGTCTGGGCCAACCAGAACTTCAGACAGCACAGAACACAAAAGAGGCTGGTCACATGACTCAGGAGAGAAAGAGAAGAGGCTAAGGGAAGCAGACCTTACTTAAAGAGGACACCCAGAACCTGAAACTCAAAAGAAAGAACTCCCCATCCTGCAGACAGGGAGTAAACAGAAGGGCCCTGAAAGGGGGCCAGCCAGCCAACAGCCCGGGGTGACTGCCTGCTGGCTTGAAGTCCGCTGCTATAAGAGGCACACCATCACCACTCACCACTGAGCCTATCATGCTTAACTCTCACCCCACCACGTTTTCTAAAGCTGTCAGTTCTGAGTGGGGCAGCTGGAGGATGGGACCCCAGGAACACTAATGGGCATCCCCAACCCTAGAGGGTAACACATGAAAGTCCAGCTCAACTGGCCTTAACCCCTTTGTCTTGAGTATATCCCACCCTCATCCTTGTCTGACCAGCCTCAGATATGGGGCCACCAGAAGCAATGGGGGAGGGCTAAGCACTCCAGCCTCTCAGCTCTGGCTGAATTCCAGGCCAGGACAATGGCTGGGGCATGTGAAGCAGTTAAGGAGACTCAAGCCCGAGGCTCCCTGTCCCTTACCTTCAAAAGGCTTTTCTATCAGTCTGAGTAACTGGCCCCTTTCATCCTCTGGCTGAGGATCCCTTAAGTTTTAACCAAGCCTAGGGTGTGACAGCCAGCACATCATACCTTGCTGGGTACTCTTTAGATGGTTATGGCTAGAGGGTCACGTCTGTGAGAATGTGTGCTGAAGGGGAAAGAGACAGGGCAGGGGCTGGCTCATACACCAAGGGACAATGATGCCAGTTGTTATGACAGACCAAGGACAAAACACACAAAGCCTCAAATGTTAGAATGAAAACTTTTATCATCACTCCTGATCTCCCAGCAGAGTCTGCAGGGGCCAAGGGACACACCAAAGGGACCTGGGGGAGGGGACACAGTGTCTATCTTTTTTGTCAGCCCCTAAATCCATGTATCAATACAAAGCTACTGGTTAGTTTAGTTCTGAGCAGACCAGCAGAAAAAAAAAACAAAAACAAACTTCAAACATGAGCATCTAATTCACTAGGCAGAAATGAAAGCAGGATCTTGTGAGGAGGAAAAGCACAATAATAGCACAACCGACCCTCCGTGAAACTGGGCAGAGGCTTCTCCTCCAGAAGTGGAGTGACTCCCAGGTGGGAGAGAGTGGCCAGAAACCCCCATCAGTATGGAAAGTGAGGTCTGGGGAAGGGAAGCACACAAGCTGGGGCTAAGCTCCTGAGAATCACCAACTTCCAGTCACCCAAGGTTGCTTGCCCAGGGCACCACCTGTCAAGGTAGCGGGAGGGGAGACAAGAATGTTGAGAAAGAAACTTGGAGGTTACGGTGGGGGGGGGGGCATTCAGAAAGGTGTTCCTTGATATCACTATTTGAGAGCTACAAGCTGGGGAATACTTTAGGACATCTTGGAAAAATCTGGGAATGGTGGGCAGGCACCATCTTGCTGGCTGGCCTCTCCCAAAAGCAGGGGTCTCTAGCCAGCCTCCACTCTCCTCCACCTCTCCAGAAGGACCCAGGCTAGCCTACAGGCCACTGAGTAAAGGCCCGGCTGCCCTCTGGGGTTGTCCAACCCTGCCTCAGGTATCCTGGTGGGGCTGGGCAGAAGAGAGCATTGCTGGAGTGTGCTGGGCTCAGGTTTTCAATGGCTGGGAATGACTTTTTTAGAGAGAGGGAAAAGGCGGTATCAGGAACTGAATGGGACGACCTCCACAAAGCAGGCTGGGCAAAGTCCCATGATGGCAGGTCGCTAGGAAGAGGTTCCAGGGGCGGCAGGCCGCTGCTGCTCCCAACCCACACCTGGAAAAAGGGCAGAGAGTGCAGGTTACCCCCCCACAAGCCACAGGGCATACCCCCACTGCCCTCTGGGCTCCTCCTATCCTGCCTGGGGTTGCTCAGCACACTATCTGGGAGTCAGAATGTGCTCTGTGACAACAGAATCAGATGCACACGCAGAAAGCAGCAAGGCAAAGAGATCCCAGCAGGGCCTATTTTGAGTCAGCATCCTTGGGCGAGGCTGCCTAGCCATGCATCTGTGAACAATGCTAGTCCTTGGAGCTCGGTCCTACTGTGCACATCCATTCCTTCCCCTAAATCTCCCAGAACCTGCCCTTGCCACCAGATTAGAAGTAGCTATCCCTGTTGGGGGCTATAGGAGTGTCTCGCAGTGTTACAACACTGCCTTGCAGTCAGTTGAACCACTTGCCATAGTACAGGAGAGACAACCACGAAGACAGTGGTGTATTTTTGTCACATGTAAATGCTGAGGCCAGGAAAGAAAACTCGTTTTTCTAGGTGCCAGCAGAGCCCCCAGATAGAATTCAAGCAGACAGGAGAACGTCCAGTCCAGCCTTCCCTACATGATTCCACACTGGAAGAGAATGCCTTGCCTTGCTCTTGCTGTTTGTGTTGGAGATGGGACCACCCTCTCCCTACCTCCAGCCTCTCCTAATGTCGTGCTTTCTCCACTGATGGAACTGGAGCCACTCAGCTCAAACCAGGGGAAGGATTGTTGGCTGGGCCACCAGAAGCCCTTTCGAAATCCCTACAGTTGGTACAAACGACTGGGAACCAGCAGCCAGGCCTAGCAAAGTGTCAGACCCACCAGAACAACACTTGTGCAGAGTGGCCCACCAGCCAGGAGCCCGAGAAGGCCAGGACAGGAAAGCTAAGCAACAGAACAGAGGTAAAGACTGGAAACCAGAACCAAGTAACCAGGAAAGAGGATCTCAGCCCTGGGGGAAGCGAAGGGGACTGGGGTACAGAACAAAGGAGGGCAGAGGGAGGGCATGGGAGAGAGAGAGTGGAAAGTGTATGCAAAGCAGTGGTCAGTCAGCGGGTCCAATACAGCAGGCTTGCTCAGGGCCAAGGCTGGGAGAACAGCAACAGTCTTCCACCCAACTATACCATGGCCCAATCCCTACCTGACACTTGTGAGGTCGCTCAGAAGTGTGCACCTGCTTGATATGTCCGTTCAAGTGATCAGGTCTGGAAAAGAGATCAACAAACTTTAAAAACAAGACATTGAAAAAGATGAGCCAAATTTGGCTAATCTTCCTCCCTCGCCCCCCACACCCCCTCCTAGGGAGGACTCCACCCCAGCAAGACAAAGACAAAGTCACCACCAAGCTCTGGCTCCCAGGGCCCAAGTATCTCAGCCATTTCCCCCCCTGGGGGGAGGGGAAGCAAATGTTTCACTCTTGATCTAGCTAAACCCATGCCACCCACCCCACCCCCAGTAGAAATTCAATGACTCCTAGGACCTGAGGCAGAAGCTTTAGAATGACACAGGGAAGCCTTGCCCAGCCTTATAGGGAGGGGGTGTGGGACTCATTGTCCAGACTAAAGCCCCTTAGAAGCTCTGGGCTCCCCTCCCCCCAGCCTCTCCCGCCACAGCAGCCAATGAATGCCACCCGGATGGAATTCAGTCCCCAGAGGCCAGGGATGGAGTCTTAAGTCCCCAGCTGGGCTGGCAAGCCAGATGCCCGCCAGAGCAGGTGGGCAGGGGCTGTCTGACCGGTAAGACTGGTTGGAAGCTGGGGCCCCTCTGAGGGAATTCCCTGTCTCTACTAAGCACACACACACACACACACACACACACACACCCACACACACACACACAC